TCGAATTTTTATCGTTTTTGTTACTTCTGTGCTCTTTTTCATTCGATGTATAACTATTTCATTTATTTTCATTCGATTTAAAACTCATCGATAAATCCACATCTCAAAGGCATCTAATTTTTTCATTAATGTCTCTGTAAGGGTCCAGCTCTCCATACTATACAGCAATGTGAAAAATATGTAGCAGCGTATTAATCTGATTTTAAGGTTTAACGTAATATCTCCACTAATTAGAATTTTCTTTAATTTGTAGTAGGCGGCTCTGGCTTTTTACTCCGTATTCTTATTTCTTTATTTATATCCCAGTTATCTTTACCATTTGCACCCAAGTAAGTAATATTGTGGACTCTTTCTAACTCTATTCCATATGCTCTGATGTTCGTTGGTTGTAACTCCGTTTTGCTAACAACCATAAGTTTTGTATTAGAAGTATTAAGTTTTAGCCCATATTCATCACATGTTTCGGTTATTCTGTTTATAAGTCGTTGCAGGTCTTCTTAATTCGAGGCAATAAGTACCGTATTGTCTGCATATCTGAGATTGTTGACATTAATTCCGTTGATTTTAATGCCTGTATCTTGAACTAAGGTCGGTCAGATAGCTCAGCGGGCTGTGCGGCTGCCTCTCATTCGCTTCACTGTCGAATGGTTTAGTGGATGTGGGTCGAGCCCCAGCTCGGTGTACAGAAAACAAAAAGTCTAACGCAGCAGTTTAAAATTCTAGATGAATCTCCGGCTTAGACTAGGATATGCTGGGTTCTGATCGGCCTATGGTGGAGCAGTACGGCAAGAGATAAGGGCTTGCGGCTCGGTGATACTCCTCCATAGATCCCTACCGGACGGGCGTAACGCCTAAAAAAACCGGATATATATCTTGAACTAAGGCTTCTTTGAAAATAAATTCGGAGTAGATATAAAAAAGTAGAGACAATAGAATACATCCTTGTCTCACGTCACGTCGTATTTCCACTGCTTCCGTCGTGTTGTGTCGAGCTCGTATCTTTCCATATTGATGGCAATATAAATTTTTGATAATACGGAGGTCTAGGTCATTAATTCCCACCTATTGCAAGACACCTATAAGTTGGTCATGGTTTACTCAGTCAAAGGCCTGTTCGAAGTCAATAAAACACATATATACTATTTATTCTATATCCCTACATTTTTGAACCATGACCTGCAAACTGAAGAGTGATTCTCTGGTTTCAAGGTTGTTTCTGAAACCAAATTGTATTTCACTTGGTTGTACTTATATTTTGTTGTAAATCCTCGAGTGCATCATTCATAGGAAAATTATCAGTACATGGCTCATCAGACTGATAGTGCGATGATCGCTACAATGTTTGGCATTTATTTTTTTCGGTTTCATTACAAATGTTGACAGTAGCCAGTCTACTAGAAGAGGCCTAGAAGAGAATGTTTGCCCTTATCGTCGAGCAGTTTGATTATTTCGCTTGGAATTTCATCTGGACCGGTTGCTTTCCTATTCTTTGATAGCTTTATAGCTCTTTCCAGTTTATCGAGTGTTATGTTTTAACCAGTCGAAGTAGATAGATAGGGCATGTAATTAGGCGAGAGGAAGGTGCAGCAGTCAGAACAGTCAGAAAAATTTGGTAAAAAGTTCTGTCTTGATCTTGTAGAAAAGTTTTCTTTTTTTAGTTTAAACTGATGACCTCTGAGGCGTTCATCTTGATTTATGGTAAACATTTCATCGAAATTTTCAAAATTGAATTTTAATGTTTTTAAATGTTGTAAATAAGTCTCCTCGTTGTCGGCGAATTTAAAAGAAGTTATGTTAGTCTATGTTAGTATACTAATTCTTTCTAAATAAGAAGATCTTTTCGGCTCCTAAGAAATTCGTGTGACTTTTCTTTGAACGTTTTTCAACAAAGTCTTGTCTTGAACCAAATCGGGATACCACGTTGGTCCAGCTTATTCAAGTTTGTATCTTACGTAAAAAGTGTAAAGTTTATAGAATGATTATATTCTATAAATGTACAACCATTTATAGAAAGATGGAAATAGTATCTTTAGAAAATGTTTATACACAAGGAAAGAGGAAATACTAGGATTAAAAAGTCAAAGGCAAAACCAACTATAAGTAAAGAGAAGAAAAGTAAAAGTGTACATTAGTAAAAGTCAAATGATCATTGGAAAAAATTGTAATCACTCAACTGGCATTCTGCAATGTATGTTATATTTTTACATGTCATACTAATTAGTTTTTATAATTTGTATTTGCCTACGATTTTAAGAATTGTAACTTAAAAATGGCGTTTGTTTTAAATAACTTAATCGGCGTGACATCATTCAATGTTTGTGTGCAGAAGGTTCACGACTATAAGCAGTATATGAAAACACGTATTTCCAATTTTCCAGGAATAATGTCGAAAATTTGAGAGTGTAAGAAAGAAAATGCATAATAAGCCGTGACCAGGTGCATTGAGTACTACATAAACAGACATAATGTGGCATGTGTGGACTAAGGTTGACTAGAGGAAATCATAAAATTTTAATCAAAGTAATTTCAAAAAATGTTGGTGTGAGTATAGGATCTACCCATAGTATCGTACATAAACTGGAATATAGTAAAGTTTGTGCACAATGGGTTTCTCGCTTTTGTCAGAAGACCAGAAATCCTAAGAACATTTTTGCGACCATAAAGAACCCTTGCTCGTAAAGTTTACAAAACCTAGAATAAATATCAACGCAAACCTGTCTATTGAAACTTTGAGAGAGGAGCTGCTGTTGACAGCTGATTAAATATAAATTGTGACTCTAAAGAACATAATATAATAACCAGGATCTAAATATCATTTAAGGCTTTTATGACCAGTTTTTAGGTGACCATAAAAACTACAATGCTTAACAAATTAGAAGCTTTCGAATTGTGGTGCTATTAATGGATCCTAAGGATACCATGGATTTCACATACTTTCAATAAAGATGTTCTTAAAACGATGAATTCAGTACGCCCGCTTACAAACATCATACAGAGGAGAAAAACAGAATACTTTGGCCATGTAATTAGAGGACTCAAATACCATCTACTTTGCCTCATAATATAATGAAAATCAAGAGAAAGAGATGGATTGATTAAAACTTTAGTGACTACGTAATATTAGATAGTAATAGTGATATGGTACTACATTAAAATAATTTTGTTCTGAAGCTATTTTCTTGTGGCATTTTAAATTAATTACTATTTAACTGGGAATAAGCCACAATTAAAGATAAAAATACGTTTATTGACGTTTCAATTTCCACTTCGGAAATCGTTCTCAAAATACAAACAGTAAATTAAACAAATTTTGTTTTTTGTTACATAGTGAAAAATTCTTCTAATAATTTAATTCTATCTGACTCATTTATATTGACAATTCAGGCATACATTATGCATTTTAAAGTAGACGACTTTAAAATGATATTGCCAATATTGTTGAGTTGAGCACCTGGGACGACTTTACTTATAAGATAGTTAATTTGCTTACAAGAAATCAACTTTAACTTGAGAATATCCGTCAGAAAAAAATCATAGCATGTAATTAGTTTTTAAAAAGACAAACACATGACATGATGATAGTAAAATTCTCCTGTTAGTGATTCCATAGTAAATTATGAGGGAAAAACCAGGAAAAAAACCTCATAATACTATCCCGACATGGTAAGTATTTGTTCGCACATTTAGTTTACCTTCAATAAACACCAAAATTCTGATTTTAAATGTTTCGTTATTTAAAAAACATAAATGATGTATCCTCTATATGTTACTGACTTACTAATACTGGTATTTTCTTATTAATAACTTCCTCTTTCAATATTGGTAACCAGATCCTACTACATTCTGCCGAGGAATTTGCGACACAATTAACCTCATTTAGCATAATTAGAGCCGTTTCTTTGAATTATTTCATTGAACCCTATGTTCATTATCCCATGCGTGTTTACATATTTGAGATCTATCAAATTCTCTACTTTTAATATAATATTGATGTTCACTTATTCTAACATTTAATGGCCTTGATGTTTCACCTAAATAAAACTGATCGCATTCACAAGGTATTTTATAAATGCAATTCTTTGTCCTTTCTTGTTCATTGTTAGGTTTGGTTTTGGACAAAATAGATCCCAACGTGTTTGTTGTTTTGAATGTTGTTAAAATGTTGAATTTATTTCCTATCCTTTTAAGTTTTTCTGATAATCCTATAGTATTATTAAGTTTTTTTCCTGGTTTTGCCCTCATAATTTACTATGGAATCACTAACAGGAGAATTTTACTGTCATCATGTCATGTGTTTGTCTTTTTAAAGACGAATTACATGCTATGACTTATTTTCTGACGGATATTCTCAAGTTAAAGTTGATTTGATGTAGTCGAATGAACTATCTTATAAGTAAAGTCGTCCCAGGAGCGCAACTCAACAATATTGGCAATATCATTTTGAAGTCGTCTACTTTAAAATGCGGAATGTATGTCTGAATTGTCAATATAAATGAGTCAGATAGAATTAAATTATTAGAAGAATTTTTCACTATGTAACAAAAAACAAAATTTGTTTAATTTACTGTTTGGATTTTGAAAACGATTTCCGAAGTGGAAATTGAAACGTCAATAAACGTATTTTTATCTTTAATTATGGCTTATTCCCAGTTAAATAGTAATTAAAGTAAAATAATTATTTTGCACGGCAGCCGATAGAAAAACGTTTCAGGAAATTGTACACGTGATGACGGCCAACGTCTTAATGCAGACACGGCACCTAAAGAATCAGAAAGTTAAAACCGATTTATTAAATTTAATTTATTCGAGCATAAAAGCTATTAATAATAAACTTTTCTACAGTATTTAATTTTTTTTTAGTCATGCGATTTATACGCCATCTTAGTTACTATTTATGAATCTACGATCTGATTTTGGTCACTTATCAATTTGAATACGTAAAATTATTAAATAAGTTACTTCGAAACTTTGAATAAACTAATAATGAATATTTAACTTACCAGAAATTCCATTGACCGGTTTGATATCACTATTATTAGAATGTAGACTGGATATACTACTCGTATTAGAATTTGGAGTTGTCGATATGCTAGAGTGAGGTGATCCAGGTTTAACATTGTCTTTATTACTACTAACAGAGTTTTTTGTACTGTTGTTGTTCTCTGCCTTGATATTCGTGGTAGGGTTGGGACTGTCTGAGTTGATACTTGAAGACTTTTGTTGTGCTAGACGTTCTTGTTTTCGGAACTTTGCTCTTCTATTTTGAAACCAAACCTGGAAAAAATCACAAGATTAAATATATTCTAGAAATCATTATTAATTTTTAATGGAGAAAAAAATTAAATTAGATAATTAAAAGATAAATTAAAGGATATTTCAACAAAAAGGTAGTAACCTTAGGTTTGATATCCGAATTATATATATATATATATATATATATATATATATATATATATATATATATATAAACGACGAATGGTGGAAATAGAACTGTAATACCAAAAATCTCGAGAAAATTAAAATAGAAGTGGTATATATATATATATATATATATATTATTGTGATATTTAAAGTCTTGGTGCGACAAGCAATTAATTAGCTAATTAATTAATTAATTAATTAATTAAGTAAAATTATTTAAATGATATGATTATGACTCTATCACACTTTTTAATTCTCTTATCTCAGGGTTAAATTCGTGCTTCAATATCTATGCTATTACATGTGAAAGGTAAGGTCCAAAGAATACCGAAATAATAAAAAACACATATGATATAACACTATATATTGAAATAAAATTAATGAAATAATTCACACTCAAATGTTTTCAATAAACAGAATCTCATATAATGATTCTCAAAATTTTGTTCTACGTACGTGAACCTTCAGAATTAATGGTACAAACAATATTAATTGAAATCTCAAAATCCCAAATTATTCTAACTCTCCTAATCAAAATATTTATATCCTTTCCAAATTAAGTGTAAAAATTGTGTTATCAATAAAAGAAAAACTGCAGAAAACAAAAATATCTCTCTCTGATGATGAGTGGTCCAAATCCTTGTTCCTTGTAGACTATATTATCTAATCTCAGCCGCTCCCTAGGTCATCAGCAATCTTACAACAAATTATTGCAAGTTTATCGTCCTTAATGATCTCCTTCAAATGCACGAATCGTTCAAATTATGCTAGCTTCTTCTTCTCTCAATAAACTGAATCTCTCGTTGGCCTGAGTAAAAAATGACTCTTGGAATATCTTTTCTTTACGATAAACTGAATCTCTCGTTGGCCTGAACAGTGACTTGGAATATAAGTAGAAAATATAACTTACAATCTTTTACTAGATCAGCTTCTGTCAGATACACTTACTACACGAAGACTCACAAACTTTCACTGCTACTGCTTCCTACCTCTGGGAAACTACCCGAGAACAACGGCCGTTCACCTTGCACCCTTGGAAACCAACTGAATATCAATTTTTCTTCCAAAACTAAGTAACGTCTCATTCTCAAACCAAACCTCCCACCTTTTCCAATCTCATCCAATCAAAACGCGTCATACATCTCCCATTTCTTCATTTCGATAACACCCAATAACACTCTCGTCGTCGATTAGAATGCTCATATTGCAGCATTTTTTACTCTTTACTGAGAGCGCTACCTCATTAAAATATATTTTGAACAGTGTAGGTGTTGTACAGCAACCTTGCTTAAAACTCTTACTAATGGAAATTTCTCTAGTTAATTTGTTTTCAGTTTTAATATTTACCGTCATGTTTTTGTAAAGCTGTTATACTGCTTATACATTTTTTATTTATTTCTTGTTTTTTGCATTGCTACCCAGAGCATTGAACGTGGTACACCATCATATGACTTTGTCAGATCTATAAAGTCTATTGTTGCAAGGTTGTGGGCTAATCTTTTCTCAATTACCTGCTTTAGGGAAAATATGCTGTCAATACAGGGTCTGCCTTCACGAAAGTCATTTTTTTTGTACATCTGTCATCTGTTTTTGAATTTTATTTTTTATTATCTTAAGTCTTAAGAGAGAATTTATGATATTTAGCTCACTGTAGTTTGAACAATTCTTCGTCTCCTTTTTTGTAGATGTTATTAATAGGTGCTTTTGTCCACTCCGGTGTTAAGTCATGCCCTTTATAGAATAAGGTGAAGACACGCAATAATTCCCGCAATACTGTTGTGCTGTGTTTTAATAATTAGTTTAGTATACCTTGTGGTCCGCATGCTTTTCGATTTTTAAGACTTCGTATTGCATCTTCGACTTTCTGTACTGTTATTTCATCATCTTCATCGCATTTCATATACTGTTGACTTGATATATTGTTGTAATGGTGTTTGTGAATTGTGGTCTCGTTTCAGTCAAAAGTTGTGATTAATGTTCGATCCAAGATATTTCTTGCATTAAATCTATTCTACTCAGTTCTTTTCTGTTTGTTCTCAGATTTTTTACCGTTTTCCATGCATCTCTTATTCTTGTTGACCCTATATATTTGTTAACCTCTTCGCATTTACTTTCCCAAGAAACATTTTTTGCTTTAGTTACTAGATTTTTTACTTTTCTCTTTGATCTTTCGTATATTTGTTTATCATCTGGGTCGTTTGGGTTCAGTCACTTCTGATATGCTTGTTTCTTGTTGTGTACTTCATTAGCGATGTCATTTGTCCACTACAATGAAGAATCATTTTTGTTCCTCTGGATCGTGCCGTGTGCTTCATAAGCTGCTTCATTGACTTTATTTATTATCTCTTGGTAGGTATTAATACAGAGTAAAAGTGGTGAAGTAGTTATTTAAATAATATTTTTAAAATTGAATAAAAAAAAAAAAAATTTTATTATCTATTTAATATTTTTTATATAAATTTTAGTAGATGTTATTAAAACATAAAAAAATTACACTTTTCATAACGGACATCCCTTGTCACTTAAATGGACTTTTTCAACTGTTTACTGTGACTGCAAAACAAGAACCGCTATTTCGTGGCGAGACTTCCGTGACGTCGTTTCATAGCACTACTTCCGTGACGATCGCCTTAGTATTTTACGATTAAGAAAAGTAATAAAACGCTAATATAGAAGCTTCGCTTTCAAAAACCATTTACAAAAAAAAAGCACGTGGGTCAGGAAAATTTGGAAACAAATAAGGTGTGAAATATGATTATTATTGTACTATCTATATAGACTGATGGGGTTCAAAATATGTAGTAATGAGCATCATAAGGTGTTACTTCTAGATAGCTTCTCTAGCCTCCGTTACCTAATTCCTATCCTCATCTCCAAGAAGTATGGTCATGGTCATACGGGTGAACACTGGTAACCTGAGCAACTCTACTGAATATTAGGCAACCAACCCTTATGGAACGTAAGGTTGGCGCTGACGAGGTAGGGAGCTTACTGGTGAACGACTTCAGGTGGATGAGCTGGTAAGTGAAAGTGTACTCTCTTGTCCTGAGATTGACAAGTTGGTCTTAAAGGCAGATGAACCATGAATGGAGAACGGCATAAGGATGCATAAGACAAGGAGAAACCACTGCATTAAAGATTACCAAAGATATCTCAAGGAAAATCACTAATGTAAAGTCAAAACGAAACAGCCTCAATTATTGAGACGTCAGCCCCTGACGTCTATTAAATAGGACAGAAGTGCGAAGAATCTTCGTGCGGAAAAACAAAATAAATAGAAATCGTATTGGAACGTGGAATGTACTAACATTATATAAAATTGAACAACTAGCAGCAGTAGCACTAGAACTGAGCAGACTTGAAATAGAGATACTTGGTCTCAGCAAAGTAAGATGGCCCAGTCCTGGAAAATTCTATCATAATAACATTGTTCTTTATTACTCTGGTAGCAGTACTGATGATCGCTAAAATGGTGTAGGAATAATTATAAAAGAAACACCACAATCGTATGTCTCTTACTTTATTCCCTATAATGAAAGCATAATATTGTTACTAGTGAAAACAATCCTAATAAATATAAACATAATTCAAATTGATGCCTCAACATCAAGCAGGGCCGATAATGAAATAGATTTATTCTATTCAGGTTTACAATATCTAACGAAAAACATAAAAAACATGAAGTCGACATAATAATTGGCGACTTACACTCCAAAGTCGGTAAAGGGAAAGTGAAGATATTGTAGGGAATTATGGTCCAGGATTAGAAAACAAACTAAGAAACTGATTAGTACAATATACTAAACTACTAAAAAGAACTAGTCACCACAAACACCTGCTATCAATTACCACCAAAAAGACTTTATACATGGAGTGCACCAGGAGACAACGAAAATAATCTGATATTATTCCAGACATGTTAACATATTATTTATGAAAATAATCTGTTAACATTCTCGTTAACAAAAGATTTAGAAATAGGAATAAAAGCGGTAAAACATATCCTATTGGTGATGCACACGCCGACCACAATTTATTTCTTACCAGCGTTAACAATAAATTAAGAAAACAACAAAAAACAGTAAAAACTGCAAAAAAAAAGTATAAACAGTTCCTGGAACGAAGTAAAGGGGGTAGTACTTAACGCTGGCGAAACGTTTGTGGGTAGAAAAGAATCAAGTGCCGAAAAAGACTAGATGACACTAGATATTATAAAGCGTCAGATCCTAATAAAATTCTAATAGACATACTAATAGAATGGTTAAAATCTTTTTTTTTTACATTGAAAATGGTATCTTTTTACCCTTACCCTAGAAAAATAATTCCAAATCTTGCGATGACTACCGATAAATTAGCCTCATGAGCCACACTTTAAAAATACTACTTAAAGTTATTCAACAGCGTATATGTTTGGGAAAATATGTAGTTTTAATTTTCATATTTTTACATTTTTTTACTTTCTTTTACTGTACTATAGTGATCTAACTTGATGGTATATTCTAACTTATTTTCTTTAAAATATATTGTTTCCTGTTATTTTGTAAAATTGTTACACTGGCTTAAAAAATATATGTCTGATTTTAAGTACGAAAAATTTGACTTCTTTTGTTATTTTTGGAAAGTATTTCAAAATCGCAATACAATAGAGTGATTTATTGATATCACTGCATCCTACGGCCCACCTCGATGCGTGGGTAGGGGGTTTCTGACCATCTAAAGGCTAGACACAATTAAAATAGTTCTGAAAGGATTTATAAAATACAAGTCAATGTTTACAAATCAGAAATTAAGTATGGTTAGCAGAAAGAGTTATCAAATACTTTCTTCTGTTCGTCATCATACAAAGAGGAGTAGGAGGAAGAAAAGGCTCGGAAAGAAAGATGAAATTTTGGCTACGGAATATCAGAGGTTGGACTTACTTCAGAGTTGAACATATATTTCATGATGCACAAGATAGGGTAGCATTTAAAGAAGTGATCGCCAACCTTCGTTAGAAGACAGCACAATAAGAAAAAGATACTGATTATGCAGATATACAAAAAAAGAACTCAGGTGTACCCTTGCCACCTAAACCAGTAATTGCAAGGTGGGAAATATAGCTCGAAGGAGTTTGTTTACTTTGAACACTGCAATTAAATATAATTAGTGATGTCAGAATTTAATAATGATATTTTCGAAGCAATTCGAGAAGAAAACAAACAGATTAAAAAATCTTAAATTAAAACTCGTATATACCAATAAAAATTATAATTTAATATTTATCATAGTTACGTTACTCCAAGGCAAGAGGAAAATTTATGTAGGTAGGTAAAATTTGTAGATAATTTAAAGTCAAGAATTAAATCAGCATCTGGAAGTAATGGGGTCAATTAATAAAATAAAAATGAAATATGTTTTTGACAATAATCAAGCTTTTTCGTTTTTATTTAATATTGTTAAAGTTTGAATCGGACATTTTTACAGAATTAAAAATTGAGCCAGATTTATTCTCCGCCTTGAAATATGTTCCAATTACATCTGTCGATATAGAACATTTATTTTCAATGTAAAAATTAATTGTAAATCATTTAAAACGTAGTTTTAAGATCGAAAATATTAAAAAGCATTTATTTGTCAAAAATATATACAGTATTGTGCGAATTAATGGAATCACTGTGAATTTTTTTTCATTTTTTCAATATTCACAGTTGGCAACACTATCTACACAGTTGACAGCTGACCAAGCATTGAAAACATAACCTTACTGTGTGTTGGTGTGTTTGAGTGTGTTTTAGGTCATTTCTTACCAAGCTTGTGTTGTTTTGGGGGTTTTTGTACTATTTTGTGTTGTTTTTGGTTTTATTCCAACATGGATATTACGCCTAGGAAGCGTGAAAAGATTGTCACGTTGAGTGAACACACTAGTATGTCACAAAGAGAGATTGCTAGAACGTGTGAAGTGAGTCAGGGGGTAGTAAGCAAAATTTTGAAGCGTAAACGAGAAACTGGATCAGTGGATGTAAAAAGGTTAGGAAAATGTGGAAGAAAGAGAAAAACAACACCAGCAGATGATAGATTTTTACTTTGAAAGAGCAAATTGGACCCAAGAAAATCAAGCCAAGACCTACAAGATCTAGCAGCATCAGCTATAGTGATTTATGATTCAACTGTTCGTAGAAGACTTTTGGAGAATGGTAGAAGGGCAATTCGTCCACAGAAAAAACAGCTTCTAACTGAACGAATGAAGAAACAAAGGCTACTGTGGGCCAAAAAAATACTCTAATTGGACTGTAGGCGACTGGAAAAAGTCCTATTTACAGATGAAACCCACTTTATAGTTTAGGGACAGCGGTCGAAATTCGTCAGGAAGTCTGACAATGAAAAGCTTACACCATCTCATATTGATCAAACCGTAAAACATCCAGTCAAGAAAATGTTTTGGGGATGTTTTTCATACATGAGGGTTGGATCTTTGGTGCCAATTAAAGGCATGATGAACAGCCAAAAATACAAATCCATGTTGGAAAAGTATTTGGACAAACAACTCCAAAAATGTCAACCCCAAGGAGGAGCGATTCTTTAACAGGACTCTGCTCCCTGTCACAAATCAAAGGAAATGATGGCATTTTTCAAAAATAAGAAGATTAATGTTTTAGATTGGCCCGGTAATTCGCCCGACCTCAACCCCATTGAAAATTTATGGGCCATTTGCAAAGCTAGACTGCGAAAAATCGACTGTACCACTAAAACAAAAATAATAGAAGCGGCCATTCAGGTTTGGTATCGAGATGAAAGGATATCTGACAACTGCCAGAAACTCATAGAATCTATGCCAAAACGGGTAAATGCAGTAATTGCTGCCAAAGGGGGACATATTTCCTACTGAATGATGTAAGTTTACCTTTATAGTTTTGTCAAAATATGATTTTTTACTAAATAAACTGTTTTTTCATTAAAACAGCCTATGATTCCATTAATTCGCACAATACTGTAACAAAATTTCAAGAGGTTATAGTGTTTAATTATTATTGAACAATTATTTAGGTATTAATATATTATGTTACTAATGTTATGTTGCGTAAATGTATTTGTGTTAAGTTAATATTAAGTAAATTCAATTTGTTTAATAAATAAAAAGATATTGTCTATATATGTTGCCTACATATTAAGATTTCTGCCTTTTTAAATAAAAATATTTGCCTATAAATATAGGGATCGTTTTCTTTAATGTTTGTTAGTATAAATCCGAGCTCGGTTTATTAGATATTAGGTACATCCCATCTACTGTTATTGATTTCTTTATTAAACCATACTGTTTACTGTATAAAAAAATTTCATAACCCGACAGAATTACCAAATTAATCGGACTATAAAATATACTAATATAAGATATTAACAACGCAAAACAATATCGAAAAGATTGAGGAAGAAATTAGTAGCCCGTATGCTGGTAACATTAATTTCATTTATAAAAACTATAAACAACATATAATTGAAATTAAAATATAGGTGTATAATGTCGGAATTACAGAGTCGACTGTGGATGTCCGAGTATAATTCTTTCCCCACATTTTGTTGATTTACGCTGGAAGCCTTGATTGGGTTTGCGTTGTGGTGCGGTATTTCAAAAAGATGAAATGTTTATTACTGCATGAAAATCACGAACAGATTACATGCCCAGCAATTTTACCGATCCGTACCTAACGATCATGTGTCCGGTTTAGTTCCATAAATTTTGTAGAAAAACTACCGCTCCGGATAAAAAATTATTCAAAGGTCTAACTTTAAATCGACATTGATCAAATTAAATGTGTATTTATAATCATAAATACTATTATTGAAATAAGTGTTCATCGACAATTAACATAGACTCCTCATATACGAGCCCGTTCCCATATCAGTTGGCCCAACGTTAAATTGATAAGAAAATTAAATTTTAGAAAACAAAAATAAAAGCAGAACGTAAATTTTATAAGTTTAATGCATCGAATAACATTTTCGAAATTTCCTAATTATAGAAAATATTTTATAACGTAATAAAAACTATTGAATAAACAGTGAAAGAAAATTTGAAATTTTACCACTGAGTTACATCCTCTTTTTTTTCATTTCGCGGCACAAATCTCTATCGGGACAAGTTAGGACTATTAGAAATCCATTCTAGAAATGGTATGCCATGGTTCAATCCATTTTAAACTCTTTTTCGAGGTATGACAACTTGCGCCGTGCTATTGGAAAACAAAATCTGTGGCTTATGTTAAATCGGTTAAAGAGATTCTTCTAAAATGTTTAAATATTTGTCCGTGTTTACAATCCTATCGATAAAATGTAAGTTTCCTACACATTTAGATAATATGCTGACCCAGATTATGACAGATGCAGGAAAGTTGACTTTTCTGTTCAGACAGTCGGGATGAAAAGCCTCAATTTTCCTGCGAATCGTGCGACTCTTACTCTCTTCAACACACACTTTAAATCCGGACTCATCACTCCATTGTATTAAATCCAATTCCTACTGAGTCCAATATTTATGCTCTTTTGACCATCTTACTCTTTTTTTCTTTTGTTATAATGCTAAAAGTGGCTTTTCCTTGGCCTAAAATAAAATGAAATTTATTAAAAACAATTCGTACTAATTTTTTAACTATAAAACTTACTTTGTAAGTACCAAATTCTAATTTGTGGGCCTCTCGGTGACATGTTGATCTAGAATCGTGTCTTTCAATGACGTCACTACATAAAACCCTCTATATTATTTGCTCGTCGGTTTTTCACCACTATAATGCGTCTTAATGCCCTTCGATCTACATCGGTTATTTTACTTTTTCGTACATTTCTAGGATTTGTAACGACCGAATCCGAAGTTTTTTATTGTCTTACTATATTTCTTACACTATAGCGTGACAATTGCAACATTTCGCGATTTCCAAATTATTTTCCAGAATTACAAAATCTAATGGTTGTTATTGTTCAATACTCAAACGGCAAACAGCTTTACAAAACTACAAAATACATTTGACATTAACTTAAAATAATAAAACTTAAAAATAAAGGGAAAGTTCCTAAATTTATTCGTTAAAGAGTTGCAGTAAAACTGATGGTCATCTGTCACCAGTTTACCATAATAGTTTTAACTATGTTTTCTCAAACATGGAATAATAATCCTTGTATCGGTTTGTAATCACACACACACACACACACACACACACACACACACACACACACACACACACACACACACACACACACACACACACACACACACACACACACACACACACACACACACACACACACACACACACACATAATATTGAGATCATTGCTGTATATTCTGTACCAGACGGTACCCTAATACGAGTAATTATATTTTTAGCATTTAGTTTACCATTTATCGTTGACCTGAAGATGCATAGCAAATTATAGTATGGGAAACCGGTCGTTGGTGGTAGAGCAAATGGACTGTGAGTAAGTCTTATTCTTATTTCTGTGTGCCTAATTAAAATGGAGTCACGCAGGCAACATATTCAAGAATTAAAAATGTTTATAGTTTAAAAAAAAACATGAAAATTTGTGATCTTTTAAATAGAATCAGACCACAAAAAAAATTTTTGGTATTGACAAACCACCTGTACAGCTATTTGAATATGACCTTTGTTCTCTCAAATGGGATAAACAGATATAATTGTTAAAAAACTACTTGCAAATAAAATAAAAAATTTAATTATTTATTTCTTTGAAAAAAAAAATAAAAAAAGTTTTAATTCTTGATGTATATAAGTGGCATAATTGATTTAAACCGAAACAAAATATTATTTTATTTAATTAGTTAATTTTTAAAGTCATTTATTTTGAAAACCATTTACGATATGGTGATCGAAAGTTCAACTTAATTATTCCAAACTACATTTTAAATAAGTATTTGTATTTTGTATACGGTTTAGATTTGGATATTAAAAAATAATTTTTCAATTATTGGTTTCTTTAATTATATGTATACTAAGGTTATATAAAAAATATATGATACCTCAAGAAAGTAGTTATAATACAAGTTTTTTTTCTGTATCATGTTCATTTGAAAACTAATATACCTTGTCGGATTAACCAGTGTTAGATAATTAATCAAGTATAGTTTTTCAAGCTCCCAATGAAATATAGGCTTTCATCATACCGAAACTCTCAACAATAACACACACTACAACTTTTCATTAGCACCAGATAATCTCCCCACAAACTGGAAAATCCCCAGAACGTTCCAAAAAAACGTTATTCAGCCGAAATTGGAATTGAACGACTTCATTAGCTAACCAAAATTAATAATTCAGCAGGCAGTGGTTATGTCGCGCGCTTGTGAGACCTGCTTCGATGTGACAGCTCGTTCCATAAAGCCTTTTTGGAAAAGTGGATTGCCCGGATGACTTTTCTTGTTATTTTCCACATTCAGATGTCACGCCACGCTCGGACAACTTGATGGTTTTACTGCATGACGCGCCGAGGCTTGACCTAGAGGGTATGCTCGAATGTATGTTCTCTTTCTGCATATTGAAATATTGCTTTCCGGGTTTTGAAAGGTGGCTTCTGTGTTACAGAGTGTACATAGTCAATGATAGAATTCCTTTGAGAGAAAAATGGGAATGTTAAATATTGTTCCATTTTATAAAAAATATAACAAAAGTATAAAATTTATTGTATTTTTTTTTATTTTAGTTTGATGGCCTTGGCCGAGCCAATTAGCCAGACAAAATAAAATTTATTGAAATGAGCGAATACGGTAAAGACAAATTATTGAAGCCAAGCTTTTATAGTAGCGTTAGATTAATTTTCTTCAATACTAAAATGCAGAGATCGTCATAACACAGCAAAGCAGATCGTCACAATACGAAATAGTTGGAGGAGTCAATTTACTTAACAAGGAGAGTCCGTTATATAACATGTAAATATTTCATTTAATTATAAAACAAAACCATATATTTTTACTAACTTATTTATATCATATTAGTACGAAATATTTTATATTTTTTATTATATTACTAGATTATAATGAAACAGTGGTTGATATCGATTAAAATAATCAATTTTGCTAATTAATATGGTGCTGTCTTCATTAAAACATTTGAATTAAATTATGACAGCGTGTGTGTGAGGTTGCCAATTTTTTTTCGTAAGTTTCAAACATTTTAAATGAAGTAATGCACAACTCGCAATGTGAAACAACAATTCAAAACAAGCTTAATTTAATTTTTACTTTTATTCTGACAGAAAGAAAATGGCGGTGTATTATATTATTATTGATATAATAAATATTACACAAACGCTGCGTAATAAATCTAATATATGTAAAATGTTGGATTGATTGAAGAATAATTTAATAGTTCAGTCGTCAGAGATTTGACCCATAAATATTATGCGAACAAGCTGAATTTTAGAAATCTAGAATCTGAAATCTAGAAAACAACAAATTATTTGCCATGAACTCTTTCTTCAAAAAAAGCCACATAGGAAATTTACGTGGATGTCGCCAGATGGGAACACTAAAAATGAAATTGACTAAATACTAACAAACAAAAAGAACATTTTCGAAGACGTCACAGTATTAAATTTAATCTCTACTGGTAGTGATCACAGAATAATACAAGCTAAAATAAGTAATAAACACAAAAAAGATCGAAGACATTATGTGCACTCTAAGAAAAAAGTCCAACCAGAAAAATTAAAGGAGAATAAAGAACAATACTAAAACAAATTAATAACAGCTGAAGAACTAAAGCTAACAGACCTAAATCTAGACCAACTAAACAAAGCCGTTACTAAAGAACTTCTCAAGACTAGCTTAGAAGTAGCACCAGCAAAATCAGACAAAAAATCAAAACTAAGTGCCATATCTTTACACATCCTACAACAACGGAGAAGCCTACTACAAGAAAATAAAAGAAATACAACTGAATACAAAACCCTTAATACAGAAATAAGAAGACATATTAAACAAGATCTCAAACGGCATCAAGAAGAACGAATCGAGAAGATTATAGAAGAAAACAGAAACTTAAGATCTACTAAGTCCCACCTAGGAAGAAATAAAATGATAGAGAGGGAAAATAAACAAAGTGTAATAGAAAAAAGCAGAACCCAAGTATCTAAGATAACAAGGGAATATTATAGTAACCTCTACAGCTCTAAAAACAGTCCACCTTATACAACTCAACAAAACCTGAAAAAGAGAATAATGAATGTAAACTCTGAAATATTATCCTCAATAACCGGAGAAGAAATAGAAAAAACAATTAGAGGCATGAAAAGAAATAAGGCTCCGGGAGACGATGAAATTCTAATTAAAATGTTAAAAGAAGGAGGGGAAAATATAAAAGACTATCTAAAGATACTTTTCATAAAATGTTTGTTTGAAGGACAAATACCGCAAGAGTGGAACAAGGCAAATACAACTCTGACATATAAGAAAAAAAATAGATCAAAATTAGCTAACTATAGACCAATATCTTTCTTGTCACTAATCTATAAAACTTTCACTAAGGTGATCACAACTAGACTAAACAACAAATTTTATGCATACCAA